AAAAAAAAAAAAACAAAAAAAAAAAACCAAAAACTGGATTCGATGGTCTCTAAGATCTCCTAGAGTGTAAGTTGATTGTTAATAATGTCCTATTAGTAGTTAACTAGCTATCAGTTTATCCTGCATTTCTGGTGTTAAATTGTTTACTGCAAAACATTTTAATATTGATTTGTTTCTCTTTAACAGGACTATCTTATCAAATTAGGTAATACAGAATGTCATCCAGAACAGTTTTTGGAAAGAAGATCAAAATTAGATAAACTATTGATTATTATTCAAAATGAAGACATTGCAGGTTTCATTCACAAGGTAGACTATTAAATTCGTTACTTACTTTGGTTTTAAAAACTCTCTTATTTTAAAATCTTACTATCTGCCAGACTTGTTTTTAAAATAAGCTTTAAAGGACATTAAATTTAAGGACCTATCTATGAATCAGCTTGTGGGATTCGTTTGTACCTCTGCAAAATTTTAAATTGCTGCATGTCACAGATCTTACCTGTCACTCAAGTAGTCAAGACTAATAAGAATACGAATCCTTGAATATCAGTGGGTCTGCTGACTAACTACAAATGTTACCTTCATTTGTATGTCTTGGGAAAAACCTATTTGTGCTCCATCTTTGCCAAACTAGCCCCTCTTTCCCTTAAATTTCGAGGTATCCCATCTAGTCTTAGAAGCCTGTCTCACAACCTACACCTTTGATGCCTTTCCTGATTGTTTGCCTTCATCTGAATTCTGACTGTAGTCGGAGGTTAGAGACAGGTCAGCTTTTGTCTATTTTGTGTTTTCAGGTCTATTGTAAGCTCCTTTTCCTTAGTGGTAGGTCCCAGTACATAAATGTTGATTTATAGATTGGGAAATTATGTTGGAAATATTATTTGTGTGGCTTTCCAGAGGCAATCCACTAATACAGATGAGCGACAGTGCATTCTGTTAGACTTCTTGTGGTCCTTCACAATTAAAGTCTATCAGTTCATCCCCTCATCCATTCTTTTCTCTTTTTATTTTGGGATTTAAACAGATACCTGGCTTGGTGACTTTAAAGAAGCTCCCCTGTGTTAGTTTTGCTGGTGTTGATAGCCTGGATGATGTTAAAAATCATACATACAATGAATTATTTGTATCTGGAGGTTTTATCGTATCTGATGAATCAATTCTAAATCCAGAGGTTGTCACAGTTGGTAAGATGATGTTCTTCTGAACATGTAACTCCTCTTCTGACTCATACTTTTTAATGTACTGTCCATTTATTCTGCCATTCAGTCTTTTCCTGAGCTTTTGTTACTCAAATTTCTTTCCCCTTCCTTTAGTCTTGACCAGTAATTTCCTTTAAATCTGGTGTAAAGCAAGGATCTCTGCCCCTCCTGTAGTTGAATCACTTCTGCTATTATTGCCATCAACATGTTCTTTTTTATGTGTACCTATTATATTCTTAGAGGTTTAGTACATAAGAAAATAGTACATAGGAAAGTAGGTGTTTCTACATAATATGAAAAAGCACTTCTTTCACAATTCACTTATGGAACAATTGTTATTTATTGAATTAAAAACAAACTTAATTATCTCTAACAGAGAACCTTAAAAATTTTTTGACATTCCTTGAAGAACTTAGTACTCCAGAAGGAAAATGGCAATGGAAAGTCCACTGTAAATTTCAGAAAAAACTAAAGGAACTAGGCAGGTAAGATTTGAAACATAACTATGTAATGGTTATTGATTTTAATATTGTACTCACATTTCTCTCTTCCCATGTTTGTAGATTACGGATGTTGCTCATTTTTCACAGATGTCCATAGCCAGCCATAATGGAGTATAGAGACTGAATTATTCTAGCCTTTTAGAGGAAGTTATATGTATAGGTAAAATTGGTTTAATCTTTACCATTTGTGGATTTAGAGTAATGATCCAAATTGAATCATCAGCATTTTTGTTTTTTCTTTTGAGATGGAGTTTCACTCCAGTAGCCCAGGCTGGAGTGCAATGGCATAGTCTCGGCTCACTGCAACCTCTGCCTCCTGGGTTCAAGTGATTCTCCTGCCTCAGCCTCCCAGGTAGCTGAGATGAGAGGCACCCGCCATCATGCCTGGCTAATTTTTGTTATTTTTAGTAAAGATGGTGTTTTACCATGTTGGCCAGGCTGGTTTTGAACTCCTGACCTCAGGTAATCCACCCACCTTGGCCTCCCAAAGTGCTGGGATTGCAGGCATGAGCCACCGATCCCGGCTAGCAATTTTTCTTTTTTAACTGAACTGTATGTGCCAACTAGATCAGATCCTCTCCCCGCTGAGGACTACTTCAGGTAGCTAATGAAATTACACGTATTTGGATAAGGATTAATCTTGACTTGGTGAAGTGATTTGTGATTAGGAATCAATTCATGTAGATACAGGTAATTTCTAACATGCATGGAAGTCACTTCTCCAATTGTGATCTTTGGAACACTAGTCACTTGAGAGATTCCATAAATGATTATGGTAATCAGACACATTTGGGATACTATGTCCTACTAGTAGAGTCTATAAAATGTATTTACACATGAAAGGATATGAATAATTCTAGTTAAAAGAATTCTGTTTTACATTGTGTCAATCGTTATTTTCTTAAACACCAAATTTTATTTCTTAAAATGTGACGTTTCATGGTACAATTTTCAGAAAATTCAGGCTTAATTTTTGAGTATTTAGCTCTTTGTAGCAATTTACTTTTAAAAGTTTATCTCCACGTGTTGCCTTGTGCCTTGCAATATAGAAGTAACTTAGCTGGGTGTGGTGGCTTACACCTGTAATCCCAGCATATTGGGAGGCCGAGGTGGGTGGATCATGAGGTTAGATTGAGCCTGGCCAACATGGTGAAACCCCATCCCTACTAAAAATACAAAAATTAGCCAGGCATGGTGGTATGTGCCTGTAGTCCCAGCTACTACTCAGGAAGCTGAGGTAGAATTGCTTGAACTAAGGAGGCACATGTTGTAGTGAGCCAAGATGGCGCCATTGCACTCCAGCCTGGTGACAGAGTCTCGCTCTGTTTCAAAAACAAACAAACAAAAAAAGCTTAGAGCCATAATTGTGTGTGTGTGTGTGTGTGTATTTTTTCTTGTTGCTCAGGCTGGAGTGCAATGGTGAAATGTCAGCTCACTGCAACCTCCACCTTCCAGGTTCAAGTTATTTTCCCGTCTCAGCCTCCCAAGTAGCTAGGATTACAAGCATGAGCTATCTCAGCTGGCTAATTTTGTATTTTTAGTAGAGGTGGGGTTTCACCATGTTGGCCAGGCTGATCTCGAACTCCAGACCTCAGGTGTTCATCAGCCTCGGCCTCCCAAAGTGCTGGGATTACAGGTGTGAGCCACTCTGCCTGGTCCATTATGAGATGGAATTTCACTTTTGTTGCCTAGGCTGGAGTGCAGTGGTGCAATCTCAGCTCCTGGGTTCAAGGGATTCTCCTGCCTCAGTCTCCCAAGTAGCTGGGATTACAGGCATACGCCTCTACACCCAGCTAATTTTGTATTTTCAGCAGAGATAGGGTTTCTCCGTGTTGGTCAGGCTGGTCTCAAACTCCCGATCTCAGGTGATTCACCTGCCTTGGCCTCCCAAAGTGCTGGGATTATAGTTGTGAGCCACCACACCCAGCCCATAGATTGTATTTTTTGAAGGAGGGATTTATACTTTGTCCTTTTAAGTATTTCATTAAAGTTCAAAATTAATAAAGGTAATCATACTTTATTATTTAGTAAGTAGAATAATCTGCTGAGATTTTAGCCTAAGCTCAGAGCTGGCCCTGAGACCTTCTGAACAATAAATCCTTGGATTTACCCCTGCTTTCCTTCTCTCCAAAGAAGCACACCCCTACATCAGGGAGAGAGCTAAAGCAGTGCAGTTGTCATTAGTTGCCTCAATGGAGAAATTTAAAGCAGAAGTTTTCATACTAAATTTTAGAAGTACAGATCCAGATACTGAACTGCTTAATTTCACAGATTGAATGCTAAAGCTCTAAGTCTGTTGACGCTTCTGAATGTCTATCAGAAGAAACATCTGGTTGAAATTTTGTCATACCACAATTGTGATTCACAAACTCGAAATGCTCCAGAATTGGATTGCCTTATCAGACTTCAGGCTCAGAACATACAGCAACGACACATAGTCTTTTTAACAGGTAAAGAGAGCACTCTTGAGCTTTCTACTATGAATATAGGAATGTGAATAAAAAGATTTTATGGGGCTATGGTGGGTATTGCTAAGCTATGATTCTGAAAATGTGAAGGAAAGGATTTTTTGAAGACTGGGGGCTGTCTATATTTTTAAGTGTTTCATACATGAAACTTTTTTTTCTTAGAGAAGAACATCAAGATGATTTCCAGTTATACAGATAATGGAATAGTGGTTGCAACTGCTGAAGACTTCATGCAAAACTTTAAAAATCTTGTGGGCTATCACAACTCAATCACGGAAGAAAACCTTCCACTGCTTGGTGCTAATGAGAATCTTGAGTCGCAGTCAGGTAACTTTTCAGTGGTTTTCATTTTCTTTTAGGCAGACAGAAAAAGAGGAATGGTTTTGCTCTGTTATCAAATAATGAAATGACTATTTTGAAACCACTCAGCTCAGTATAAATAGCCATAGGGAAAGTTTCAAGACATTTATTGTTCTGATACTTAGCTCCCACAAGATCTGCTCATTATACTGTAGTCAGTGTAAGTTGTTAGTTACTATAGAATATACATTTCCATCTATATTGTAGACAATGCATACTATGGAGTTTGCATTTTGTCTTTGAGGGTTTGTAAGCATTATTGGTTAGGTTACTATTGTCAGCAAAACAGTTACATTAAAAAGGTAGGGAACCAGATATGGTGATTTAGCATTGAGCTGCTACGTCTCCCCACATGTATAAAGCAATTTAACTGCAAGATAGTAGGGCTGTCATAGCTTTAGTCTTTCGTGAAATGGCCTCTGCTTTGGTTCCAGGTTCTATGTAAAATGAAAGATGTACTTTTATTTTTGATGAAAAAAAGCAGAGATGATCATTCAGTAATGCTAACCAGTTTAGTAATCCAGTGAAGCTAGATGTCAAAAAATTTTATTTTATATTTGTCTTGTCAAATACTGAATTACCGTATAACTTTAGATGCTGTTTTGACATTAACCCCTTTGGAGCTGGGAGTTGGGATTTCCCAACATTAAACGTGAACACATTTCGCAGAAGCTTTTAGCATCGGATTATCTGGACATTCACATCTAGTGTGAGTGTTGTGACTAAGTGAACTTGTGGCAGAAGACCAAGCTTTAAGGGATTGTGGACTTGCAGACCCTGACGCATTATATTGTGTGAGTAGTGTATAATTTTAAAACTTAAACAAACTGTGTATTTCAATAGAGGAGGACTTTTTGTTTTTTAAATGTAGCTCTTTTAGAAAACGATGAAAAGGATGAAGAGGATATGTCTCTGGATTCAGGGGATGAAATCTCACATATAGAAGTATGCAGCAATTTTCATTCAGAAATATGGGCGAAAGAGACCAAAGGATCACGTGGAACAGATCAAAAAAAGAATATTCAAATTGAGTTGCAATCGTCTCCTGACGTGCAAAACAGTTTATTAGAAGATAAGACTTATCTTGATTCTGAAGAGAGAACTTCTATTGATATAGTATGCTCTGAAGGAGAGAACAGCAATTCAGCAGAACAAGCTTCATATAGTAACTTTCAGATTTATCATAGTCAATTAAATATGTCCCATCAGTTTAGTTATTTTAATGTTCTCACTCATCAGACATTTTTGGGGACACCATATACCCTTTCATCAAGTCAATCTCAAGAAAATGAAAACTACTTCTTAACTGCTTATACTCAAAGCTTGGATAGAGATAAATCTCCACCTCCCTTAAGTTGGGGAAAAAGTGATTCTTCCAGGCCATATTCAAAAGAGAAGTAACTATAGGAACTTTTCCTAAATAGATTGTTGTGGACTTTTTTTGTTTATTAACAATTTATATTTCATTCTCTAAACAAAAGGTTCTTGTTCTTTCTCAAATGTTTTTTTTTTTTTTTTTTATTTAAATCATGATGGTCTGTAACAGTTAAAGCATCTAAAAATTGAAATAAATATATATTTTTTAACATATATTGTACTTGAATTA